TCTCTGACTTTCCTGTTTCTATTCTGGACTGCTTCCATATCAAAGAAACACTTATTATGAGACTTGTTATTACCAAAGAGTCTTTGATGTATTGAAAAAAAAAAAAGTGGGTGGCCCTTGGTGTTATGCAAACTTATTGAAAAAAAATGACATAATACAAGTCACATTTATCATAACAGATACATTAAACATACCAGGTTAATTTCCCTTCCTTCTATATCAGAAGACTTCTTTTGTTTCCCTGGAAGATAGAAGTAAAAAACAAAACAAAAAACGATTAATCAAAAGGAGGAAAGAAAGCAGAGGTAAACCACCTCCCCCCACGCCCATCCTGTTGCATACTAACAATGATGTCATATGTTTGGGCTTGTATATTTGCCTTGGCTAGCATGCTGTACAGGCCCCTGTGGATGAGAATTCACATTACCCATTTCCCTTCCAGCCCTCCTGATACCACATGGCCTATGGCATATCCAAGAGGAAGGAGCAGGATCTAGCAACTTCACTTTGAAAAGGTTGGAAGCCCTTGCTCTGAGTATATCCCATGTGCAATCCCAGAAATGCTCCTGTCCTGTCACCTGCATAGCCAGTATCTCCTGTTACTCAGTTCACTTTGATGTGGCAAATCAAAAGATTTGTCCCACACCTGTCTGTAATCCCAGCTACTCCGGAGTCTGATACAGGAGGATCACAAAGTCAGTCTGGAGAACCTAGTGAGACCTTGTCTCAAATAAAATGAAACATAGTAAATGGGCTGAGGATGTATCTCCCAGTAGAGTGACACCCTAGTACTGCAAATAATAAAAATAAACTGATAAATGAATTTACAAAATTATGCCTTCCTCTTTTTTCTGAAGTTCTGAGAGAAGTTATAGTAGCCTCAAGAAAAATGATGGAATACAGAGAGACAAGGAAAGATCTATGGAGTTGCAGATGCAAAGGTGGGATTACAGAAGATTCCTCAGAATTGTAAGAAGGTTCTGGGCTTCAGAATTCCTCAATGGAAGCACTTCAACCAGATAATTCTTTCTTTTGTGGCAATGGAATCAGGGGTGGTCTGTCTGGCTTAGTTTCTATACCTACACTATAGCCAATGTTGTAGGAAAATGATTGGGAAGACATGGAATGAAAAGAAAAAAAAAAGAGAAAACTGAGGTGACAAGATCAGAGATAATCAGAATTCTCAATGCATTCCTCTCTTACTGGGTTTAAGTATTTGGTGGTGACCCTGACAGAATGTTTTCAAAAATAGAAAGGAATTGTTTTCAAAACACCACACCTCTCCCATTTTCACCAAACCCACATTTTTCAAACACATTATTTTTGAGTGAGGACTGAGTGCATTCAGTTCAGTTGTGTCTTCTTGATGGCAATAGAAAGGACACACATATGAATTCCTGCCGAGGACAATGGTTCTTTAGACAAGACTGCGTGACTGGGATGATGCATTATAGGTGTAAAAAGGTGAGACAAAACAACTCAATGCAGACTTGTTCACTGAGAAATTATTTCAACCCCACTTTCAACTCAAAGTTTAGAAGAATTCTTTCTCATATGAGCATAAGACTGACACCAATAGAGAATGTCCCAGCAACATGGCCTTCTGGCCACAACCCTGGGCTGTGCACTTTTCTGTGAAGCAGGTGCCTTAATATGACAAGAGGGAGCCCAAATGGACCCACTTGGCATTTTTGGTGAAAATATGAGGAGTGTTCCCAGGATCTCCTTCTCCATGGTTTATCATAGAAAAAAAAAAAAAACAAAAAAAACAGAAAAAAAAAAAAAAAAAAAAAAAAACAGGAACCAACGGAAAATCTGTCATCCTGGAAAACAGAACCCCAGATACAGAGGGGCAGAAGGAAAATGGAACCCACCTTGATGCCTTTTTAGGTAGCAGAACAAGCAGAAACAGGCAATGATGAAGAGAAACAATCCTCCCACAGAAAGCAGACTGTAGAGGAGCCACAGCTTGTCTGCCACCTCTTCCTTTGAGGGTGGTCCTGAGGCAGTTGGTGCATCTGGAATGTTAGTCAGTGCTAAAGACAGTTAGGAAGTCAAAGCTATATTAGGTTCAGCAACATGCCTCTGCATCATCAGATGCTTCTATTTCTCCTCCGGAGGTCTCTCCTAAAAAAACAGGCCTCAGTACTTGGCTTAATCTTTTGCATTTTTTTTTTAATTCTGCTAGGGTTAATCTTCTGTAGAACAATCTTCATAACAGCTCTCAGAAAGTATTTCACCAAGCCCTTCCCTTTACAGTATCAAAGTTTCCATTCATATGCACTATTTAAGGAAATTAGAGAAGGCTTTAGCTTTATTCAATTCTGTGACTTGAGTATAATAATAATAATTCCAGGAGTTACCCCAAAATAAGACAGCCAGTGAACCAACATGTTTCAGATACTAAATTCACTTCCCTTCAACACAGTACCTTTTCATTGTCTCATAACTCATTGTTATCTCCAAATACCCAATACTTTTGGTTTCCTCAAATATACTTTTCATGGCATATAGCTGATGCTCATTATTATTTATAGGTCTTAACAAACATTAAGGCCACTTGTCCAGGGTAATTTGAAACTTGTTAGCCGATTATAAAACAATTTAGTAGATCACAAATATCATTTCTGGAAAATGAAGCAGAGCAAAACAGAATACATTGAAATGGATCTCACACAGTAGTGATTCTCAAGCAGGACAATTTCTCCCTCAGGACACAAGTGACAATGTCTGGAAATGTTTCTGGTTGTAACAAAGTTGGAGTGGGACTGGCATATAGTGAGCACAGGCTAAACACCCTATATTACACAAGACACCTCTTCACCATACTGCGGGTGGACATATAGTGGACCTATAGTTCTATAGTTTGGTAATTCAGAAGAGTGGAAACAAATGTAGCACTGTTCCTGCTGCAGCTGCTGTTGAAATTGGGCAGGCAGCCAAGTCATTGCAGGAGTGGGAGACGGCTGTCTCAGGGAGGGGTTTGGATAACAAACAACAGATAATCTAATACAAACAAATCCACTAGACTAAGAAGACCCAACTTCAATTATTTTTTCACCCATCACACAAACTTGTTAATTTTATTTGATTAGTTTGATACTTACTTATTTGAGGTTGTTCTGAATTATTTCTGGTCTGTTCTGAAATACAGAAATAGGATGAAGAATTGAAATTGAGAAAACAATGAGTATATTCTCAGGGATGTCTAAAATCAAAGCTAACTTTGGAGAAGACTCTGGTAATTGCATACTAACAGAGAATCCAATGATCCACCTCAAGGCCAGTTTTTTGCAGGATTCATGTATCATCACTACAAAATCATGAAATAAAGTAAATTCCTAAGTTAGTTTCAGACTCAAAGAAAAACTCCGCAAATACAAGGTAACCCTCATCTGTCTGCTTTGATTCCCTCTTCCACATTCCTTAGGTATATGGATACAGAACAGCCCATGTAGCACCTCTAGAACCTGCAATAACAAGACACACCAGCAAGTGCTGCGCGTTGAGTATGGAAGACCATAAGGAAAGGATGCTTTGGGAGACATTCTGGGTGCTCATTCTGAAACAAAGACTGTGCCTTTCTCTCTCTTCCCTCTCACTCCACACCACTTTCTTTCTCAGATAATAATCACCCTGCATTTGTGAAGTTTCTCATCAGGACTGACCAGGGACAGTCTGAGGAGAACAGACTTCCAGACCAAGGTATGTTCCCCTAACTGTTTCCCAGCTCAATCAACTTTCCTCTTGGGACTTTGCTTTGCTTTACAAAGTTGCTTTTCTTCATTTGGGGAGAATACTGCTTTCCCAAGAGAATCAAATTCCCCACTTTGTCACATGCCTGTTTTTACACGAACCCACTCTGAACATAAACAGCAAAGGAGAATCAGACACAAAAACAAGAAAATGCCCAATAACCCTTCAGAAAGATATTTCAAGGGGGAACAATTAAATAGTTTTGTCATACCTCCAAAATGTATTTATTAAAGCATGGTTCTTAAATATAACTCTAGGGCACATTTCCCCCTCACTTCATATTTACTATATTGAGTCCTCTCATTTTCAAAAGGAAAACAATTTTCTTAACCCTTTCCCTATTACCTTTGTTTTCACCATTTCATTAAAGTAGAATTCACACTCAGTTTAAATTAAAATAATTTCAAAATAATTTATTTGACTTTTGTGAAGGAATCAGATAACCCAAAGAAATATGACACAATTTCTACCTTCCAGGACATTATACTCTCTCATGGAACTTGAGAGCATTTCCATACATTACTATTGTGAAAGAAAATATGTAAAAAAAAATGAGAGACACAGAGGCTTAAATTGCATAAGAATTGGTAGAAAAGAGAAATTGCATCCCTTAAAGCAATCGTGGAAGGCTTCCTTAAAAACTTAGGTAATGAGCTGGAATTGAATGGCGGGCTGAAGCTTTGATAGGTAAAGATAGGTGAATGAATGCCCTGTGAGCGGTGACAATGGCATAAGAGGGTTCATGGTAAGTGTAGAGCCATGGCAAGTGGGGCAGCTGGGCTGAGTGGAGAGGTTCTACTCTGGGCTGAGTGGAGAGGTTCGTGGAATCCAGAAACAATCCACAAAGGTAGGGGATGAGCTGAGGAAGACCTTGAGTGACGGTGAACAAACATAAGCCCATTTCTGCGAGCACTGAGGATGCTCTCCAGGGGACAAGAAATGTATCAGGCATATTAAGTATTTTAGGGAGATTTTGGGCCAAAATGACCAAAATGGGAAACACTAAGAACAAGAAGTCCAATAGTACCATTAATTGGAGTCATTTAGAAGGAAAATAATGAAGGTCTGAGATGCTCTTAGAAGCTGTAAAGAGAACACATCATAGAGCAGAAGACTCTCTTGACAAACAGGAGCAGAAGGCCAAAGCCAAGTGGTGGGGAATACCCAGTGTGGACCAGAAGCCTTGATTGACCAAGTGAAATGAAAGAGAGCAATAAGGAAGGGAGGAGCAGGGAAGAGACAAACCTAGGAGGGTAGAAATCTTCCAAAAGAAACCAGCCCCTTCCTGTCTTCAATTTAACTCTTTGGGTCTCTTGGGCCTCATCTCCACACATTTTTTTTCCAGTATAAAACTAATAAAACCCCTCGGGGCACACAGTTTAACAGGAAATGCTTTGGGGTCTGACTTCTTTTCCTTAGCAGAACATTTCTGAGGTTTATCCAGGTTGCATCATGTATCGGTACTCATTCCTTTTTAGAGATCAATAATATCCATTTGTATAGATATGCCACATTTCCATTCATCAGATGGTGAGCATTTAGGTTGTTTCCACCTCCGGTATTGTGAATAGCTGCTTAAAAACGTTCATGTGAAAGTTTTTTGTGACATATATTTAATTCCACTTGGGTATTTACCTAGCCACACAATTGCTTGGTCATGTGGTAACTAGGTTATCTTTCTGAAGAACTGCTAGACTGTTTTCCAAATTAGCTGTGCCAATTTATATTACCACCACAAGCAATGTAAAAGTGTTTCCACTTCTCCACACCCTTGCCAACACTGTTTTTTTTTTTTTTTTATTCTTGTCATTGTAGTGGGTATGCCATGGTATCTCACGGTGGTTTTGATTTGCATGTTCCTAAAGATTAAATGATATTGAGCTTTTTCTCACATGCTTATTGGCCATTTTGTATACAAAATTCTTTGATAACATGTCTACTCAAGTCCTTGCTTATCTGTTTATAGTTGGCTTGTTGTAGTTCTTACACATTCTAGGCAAACATCTCCTACCAGACATATAATTTGCAAATATTTTCTCATATTCTGTGGTTTGAATTTTCACTCTTTTGAAAGTGTCCTTAGATGCAGAAAAGTTTTCAGGTTTTATGAAGCCAAACTTATCTAATTTTTTTGTTTACTTTTTTTGTAATTTTATCTAGAAAACTATTACCACATCCAAGATCAGGAAGGTTTACAGTTTTATATACATATTTATAGTTTTATATAAATTTAGTTTTTATAATTTTAGTTTTTATATTTAAATATCTGATCCATTTTTAAATTTTGTGTGAGGTAAAGGGTTTTAATTTATTCTTTTGCTTGTGTGTATACAATTGTCCCAACCAAATCATTCATTTGTGTTTTTTTATTGGGTGGTGTTCAGTGTTGGGGATCAAACCTGGGGCCTCTTGCATGCTAGGGACCAATATCTTAAGGGTTTCTCCTATGTTCTCTTCTAGTAGTTTTTAAGATTCGGGACTTAGATTAAGGTCTTTGACTCATTTTGAGCTGATTTCTGTACAGGGTGAGATAGGAGTTAAGTTTCAATTTTCTACATGTGAATATCCAGTTTTCCTAGCACCATCTGGTAAAGAGGCTGTCCTTCCTGTAATGTATTTTTTTGGCACCTTTATCAAAAATTAGTTGACTGGGCTGGATGCAGTGACTGTAATCTCAATGGCTAGGGAAGCTGAAGCAGGAGGATCTCAAGTTCAAAGCCAGCCTCAGCAAAAATGAGGTACTAAGCAACTCAGTGAGACCCCGACTCTAAACAAAACACAAAACAGGACTGGGGATGTGGCTCAGTGGCTAGTGCCCCTGAGTTCAATCCCTGGTACCAATAAAATAAAATAAAATAAAATCAGTTGGCTGAAGATGTGTTTGGGTCCTCTGTTCTGCTCCACTGATCTTTGTGCCTGTTTGGTCAGTAGCATGCTGTCTTTGTTATTGTGTCTCTGTGCTATGTCTTGAGATCAGGTATGTGATGCCTCCTGCTTTGCTACTTTTCAAGATTGTTTTGGCTATTTCAGATCTATCACAATTTCCTATGAAAATCTGATCCTCAAAATTCATAGGAAAAAACAGCTGTTGGGATTTTGAACGGGATTACATTGACTCTCTAGACCATCTTGGGAAATATTATCATGTTGACAACAGTGATTCTTCTAAACCATGATGATGGGAGGTGTTTACACTTATTTACATCTTAAATTTATTTTAGTCAGACTTTTTTTGCTCAGTTTGCAAGACTTGTACCTCTTTGGTTAAATTTATTTCTAAGTGTTTTACTTTTTGATGTTATTATAAATGAAATTTTTCCCCTTAATTTTCTTTTCAGATTATTCTTTACTAGTGTTATAGAAATACCACTAATTTTTATATGTTCATCCTGTATCCTATAAATTTGCTAAATTTGAGTGTTAATCTTAATACTTTTTAATGAATTTTATAGCATTTATCTGTATAAAAGGTCATGCTGTCTTTGAACAGACTGTTTTACTTCTTCCATTCAAATTTAGATGCCTTTTATTTTTCGTTCTTGCTAAATTGTTCTGGCTCGAACTCCCAGATCAATGTTGAATGGAAATGGAGAAGCAGGCATCCTTGTTTTGTTCCTGATCTTAGGGGACAAGAATTCCATCTCCCACCACTGGATAAGCTGTTTGCTGTGGGATTTTCACAAATCAAAAATAATTTTACTCTCCTTTCCTCCTCCCTATATATATATTTTTTCCCTCTGCTTTGTTCAGTTGGGTTTTCCACTGCTTAATCTTCACCTGTTCTCCCTCAGCTGTTACAGCTAATTAGAGGCCTCTGAGGAGGAAGTGAGGAGTCAGCTGAAATCCTGCACAGTCCCCAAAACTCATCAGAGTCAAGCTACTTGTGTCGGTTTGCCCTGTGAACATTAATAAGTGTGTATTTATTGGAGCACCACAAATATAACTTGTATTAATTATAATCGACAAAGTCAAAAACAGAAAAAATGGAACAAAAAAAGAAAAGAAAAGCAAGGACAAACAGTTAAGAACTATCTGTAATCACTGGTATTCACCTTGTTTTTTTTTTTTTTTTTTTCACTGTTTCAATAATCTACTTCTGGACTTACCAAGTAAATGATATAATCCGTAAGTGCAAAAACAAAAACTTTCATTGTACTTTTCTTACTCTTCCCCAACTCACTTCACACGCACACACCCACATACATGCAGACACCCATGCACTCCTGGATCTCACACTCTGTGAGGTGTGGCAGACTTCTGAGGTGATGCAGGCGTTCAGTTTCTAACCTACTCACTTAAGAAAACCCGGATCTTCGGTTGCCTGGAAATATGATGAGAAAAACATTAGATGGTCTGAGGGTTGAGAACTCACCTGTCACATAAAGGATTATTGAATGACTTGGAGAGAAAAAAGACGAAAAATTCGCACGACAGCTATATGAGCCATTGTCGCTAGGAAGCACTGGTTCGAAATGTAGAGAAAATACTGAAATATTCTGCCTTTCTTCCCAACTTGTGTGTGGCTGAAGTCTATCTCCAAGTTGAGAACACTGTGTTCCATTGAATTTGCACCAAGTTATATTGGGTCTCTTAGCACAGTATTTGACAGGGCATTCCAATTTAAAGGAACTTCCTGCCGGGGCATGGTATGCTGAATGTCTCTTCACGGAAAGTTGTTCTTTACATGACTCCTCCCCTAAAAGATAAAGACAGAATTAAAATCAAATCTGTTCTTCTCAACCACCATATACATGCCACTTCCACCATTTCTACCAAAAATTTCTCAAGCTTAATTATATAATTTTTCTAGGAAATATATCCAAGGAACTGAACCTCACTAGCCCAGTGTCTGGTATATAGTATTCACATAACAAAGATATTTATTTAATATTTTTAATACTAGATTTATAGAAAATAATTTCATCTTCACAACAAAAATCCTATATATTAGTATATATGTTTTACAAATGAGAAGACTGAGGTGGTAAAGAACTTGTCTATAGTAACATGCTAAAAATTCAGAGAATTAAGATTTAAAGTCATACTGTAGTTTCTTGTTCTAGAACCCATTAGCCATTAGTCTACATTACTTCTTGAGCAACTCTTAATCCATTAAATGAAGAAGAATTTTTTAAAAGTTTTTTATAGTTGTAGATGGACAGACTGCCTTTATTTCATTTGTTTATTTTATATTTTTTATGTAGTGATTAGGATTGAACCCAGAGCCTCACTCATGCTAGGCAAGTGCTCTGCCACTGAGCTACAGCTCCAGCCCCAAGAAGAAGAATTTTTGTAAACAATCATATGCCTAGAATACCTGAAATTAAGAATTTTATTTCTTAGTTTTTCAACGGCCTTAATGCGGCCTTGCAAGTTTTTTCCACGTTTTCTTTGTAGAAGACGTGCAACTCAAAATAATCATCTGAAGACAAGATGTTCCTAGTTACCCAGAACTTTTTATTCTCCAACAGGAAGGAGGAGCAGGGCTCCAACTCTGGAAATATCTGCATGCTGGCCCAACATACTGCAAACATGCCTCCCTTTGGGGGAAAGAGCTTTTCCCTGAAAATAGGCCTTTCTATGTAATCTATGAATCTCCAGCTAGCAATTGTCAAGTGTGTATAAAATCTGCAGCCAGAAACATTTTTAAAGTTTTCTATGTTGTTGAATAAGTTATCATTAACTTATCATAAATATATTTACCCTGTAACCTCTATATTCAAAATAATACCTGAGAACCAAGTTATATGAGAAAGAAATCTTTTCTAAGCAGACAAAATAGATATCTCTAGATCTAAAATTTAGCTCATTTTATACCTAATTCTTCCAATTCCATTTTCACTTCAGAGGACAAAACATGCTATATGATACAGACTAATATGTTCATAATAACAAGACTTAATCAATAATAGAATTTTAACTATTAATTGTCAGAGTCCCATGCATAAGGGGCATGAGATACGGTATGCACTTACAATAATTAAAAAAAAAAAAACCTTTTACATCATTTACATCATGTAACTGATATTTGTATGATATGTGTATAAAATCACTGAATATTTTATTATGGTTCTAACTTCCTGATGTGGTGAAACAAAATAAAATAGGCAAAGTTTCTGTCTAGTTAAGCAATTTATATCTTTTTATTTTTCTAGTAAAGATAAGGCTAAGCACATGGTCTTAAAAGTATTTAAAATACTTTTTCCTCCAATCTTCTAGTTCTTTATTAGCCTATTCTTTTATGTTTTGAACTACTCTCTCAGCAATGTGTCTAATCCATCTCCATTAATCTCTTTAACACATCTTCAAGTATTCTTCTGAATAGATTCACCGAATCATGGGTTATAATCACATAAGCATACCTGAGATTACAGCTAAAAGCCTTCTTTAAAGACCAGGAGAGCTAAGGACTCTACCACAGGGGAGACCAGACATTGAGCTAGCCAGCGGCTTTGGGCCCCAAGTTCCACAAGCCTCTCTACATAGGACAATGTTCTGCTTTATTTCTATATCCTTATAGAATGAATATTCTCATTTTCAGCTATTTCCTAACACCTAATAAAACTTTCACTCTAATTCCTGGTCATATCTCATCAATTCCAGCTCACTAAAATTGAAATTTGATTAAGTTTTCAGAAATTGTGATTGAGACAGAGAACCTTTAGAGAAACTTAAGAACCCAATTTACCATTTATAACTATGTTGAGAGCGAGTTCACTTTAATACTTGCTAAGTCAGTGGCTTTCAAAAATTCAGAATAAAAATGAAAGCAAACAAAAAAGGTAAGTCATAAAAATGAGATTTTCAAAAATTGAAGAGAAAGAGTAAAATAACTTACGAAAAGGAAGTGCCTAAATGTGGTTATAGTTATGACCAAAAAGCAAGGAGATCAGGGGCAGAAAGACCAAGTGAAACCAGGTGTCTGTTCCTCTCCCTAACGTTAATGGACTATCATAGCTTCCTAACTTCCCCTTTTCATTCTCTTGGGTAAATTAATAACAGTTTATGGAGCCTATAACTTTGTACCAGAATTGCAAAAATCCAGATGGTTACAAAGACATTTTGTTTTCAGAAGTTTACTGTTTAATTAGACAATATTACCTAATGACAAGTCCATGTTTCTAGAATATACTTATTATCTACTACTCTTTTTTCTTAAAGTTTACTTGAGCTGAAAGCAAGGTTTAGAGGGACCTAGTATGTTAATTTTGGGGGGTGGATATAGAAATAAGACACGATGCCTGCATTTTGGAATTTGGCTTCTAATGGGAAATAAAGATGCAGGATGAGTGGGAGAATAGCACTGTGAAAAAGTACAGACCACTTTGCGTGGCTATGCACAGGTGTGACTTCAGCTAGGGCTCTTGAGGCAAGTCTTCATGGAAACTGAGAGCTGAACCTCAGTAAATAAACAGCCCTTTGACAATCAGAGCAGAGACCAGCAAGATATTTCAGGACTGAGACAATGGGGGATTAAAAAAAAAAGGCTCTTCATCCAGAAATCTTATGGTTCATTCAAGGAACTGACATACAACTGGCTTACAGTTTTCTGAAAGTGACATGGATTCCACTGGTTAGTTCAGAATAAATGGAATAAATATTAAGTAGGGAAGTTTAAACTTTGCCTATCTACCATGAGAAAACGCAGTGCCTAATTTCGGGGGAGAGGTATTTATAAAGGGCATGGAAATAGCTGTAAATGAGAATATTCATTGAACACACCTGTTTCAAATGTGAAACCATTGTGTGAACTTGGGATAACTACCCAGTTTCAATAGCACTCAATTGCTTCACAGTAAGAACAGGATTGAATTACAAAAACAGAAAAGTCACTAACCACCATCACCTCCTAACACAAACACATACAACTTCACGTCCCCCAAATGTGTGACTGACTGTGAAACCACTTCTAAACTGCAATTTTGACCCCTATTGCAACATAGTACCCTTCCATTTATCCAAAGAATTGTCACCTCATGCTAGTAGCACAATTAAACACATCTTTTGGTCTCAGTATCCTGTGATTCTATGCTCGAGAGTAGTGTACAAAATTGATTAGCAGGTGGAGGTGGAAAAAAAAAGAGAGAGCTGTTAGTCCTAGCTACATCCCTAACTTGCAAAGGGCTTACAGAAACATTATTGAGGTTCCTGCATATTTTTATCAGCAGGATGAGGATCATTGACAATCCCAGTGTGAACTTTGATTCCACAGGCACAGGAATTTTTCTTGAATGAAAGAATGAATAGATGATGAATGCTTGGAAACCAGGCATTAAAAATCATCAAGAATATTCCCTCTGTGCATAAACGAGGTGTTATTCTTCCTGTCTCTCAGAGATTAAACCTGATGCTTCTAATACAAAAAGGATCCAATGAACCAAATGTAACAATTCTAATTTTTCAGGATATGTGGGTGGCCAGATCTCAAAGGAGGACTGCTCCCTAGCTCTTCCTAGGAAGCTCTCAGGGGATAAAGAATCTCGGATCTGTATCCTGAATTTACCTTAATGGTCAAAAGGTTAAGTGAACATGTTTTTGTTCAAGGTCACCATCAAGAAGCCAAAAGGAAGCTAGGTGCAGTGGTGCACTCCTGTAATCCCAGCAACTGGGAAGCAGGAGGTCAACCTAGACAAATCAGTGAAGCTCTGTCTCAAAAAAATAAATACTGGGGATGTAGCTTCATGGTAGAGTGCCCTTGGGTTCCATCTCCAGGGGGGAAAAAAAAAGGAAGGAAGGAATGAAGGAAGGAACAAAACTCACAGAATGAGAGAAAATATTTGCAATTATTTATGTGTAAGAGTCTAAGAGTTAGAGTGTATAAAGAACTCTCAGAGCTCCACAATAAAAGGTAAATCACCCATTAAAGAAAGAGCAAAGAGTTTGAGTAGATATTTCTCCTAAGGGTATATACAAATGGTCAAATACATATATGAAAAGATGTTCAACCCTGGGCATCATAGTACATGCCTGTAATCTCAATGACTTGGGAGTCTGAGGCAGGAGGATCACAGATTCAAGGCCAGCCTCAGCAAGTTAGCAAGACCCTATCTCACAACTAAAAGGATTGGAGATGTAGCTCAATAGTAAAGTGGCCTGGGTTCAATCCCAAGTGCCAAAAAAGAAAAAAAAAAGCTGTTTAATATCATTATTTACCAGAGAAGTACAAATGAAAGTCACAATGAGATACCAATTTACACATTCTAGAATAAGTGTAATAATATAAAACTTCAGAAAAAAACAGGTGTTTGTGGGAATGTGGAGAAATTTGAATACTTATACACTGCTGAGCAAAATACAAAATGACGTAGTTGGTGTGGAAAACAGTTTGGCAGTTCCTCAAAAAGCTAAGCATTATAGTTATCTTAGGACTCAGCAATTCTATTCTTAGGTATACTCCAATAGGAGTAACAATATGTGCACCTACAGTGTCTTGTATAATAGTGTTAATTGTAACTATATTCATAATAGTAAAAAAAAATAGGAATAACCTCAATGTCCATCAACTGATAAATGTATAAACAAAAGTGATATTTCCAAACAATGGAATATTATCCATCCATAAAAAGAAATGAAATATTTATTCATACTACAATATAGATGAACCTTGAAAATATTATGTTAAGTGAAATAAGCCAGATACAAAAGATCACATGTTGTATGATCCTATTTCTATTAAATACTCCATACAGACAATCC